TGCCGCCTGCATTTACACAGTGTGCTTCTGTTCACACTAATCATTGCCGGTGTCCCCTTGTTGATGAGCAATAATCCTGGCAGGCTAACACCACCGGAGATCTATTTACCAGCCAACTCCTCAGCAGCCTGGCTGTAATAACAAATAGAAAATCAGGTAAGTTCCATTTATGAATCAGATACAGAGAGTACATGGGCTTTTGACACTACTATCTGCTCCTCATTCTAGATGGGGCTCACTGGTGTTAATATGGACAACTGAAAAAAAAAATAGCGGTAATGGAGATGTAGACTTGTATTAAAGAATAAAAATTGACTGTAGCCATTTCCACCTTTGGGGAGGGTAATAGCATATTGTATACCAGTGGGAAAACTGCCCTCTATGTGGCTTTGTACTATTTCAGAGACTGGAGGACAGGGGAAGCCAGTAGTTTAGGGACTGGAAAATCTAGTCACAGGGAGATATGGGGGACTCTGGAGAGAGACAGAGCCCAACCACAGTGGTGAAAAGCCTGCTGGAAAAGGGTGCGGGGCAGCTGATAGGATGTGGAAACCTTTCATCACCTCAACATTTGCTCTATTTACTCTTGGGAGTGATAAACTCAAGGAAAGTGATGTGGATCCCATGCTTGCTGGGCCAGGAGCAGAGCGAACAGAAGAGCACTCGGAGGTGGGTAGGTGAATGTGACAGCTCAGGGGGAGAGCTCAGGACACGCCAGCCTCCTGCAACTGGCAGGAAGCACGGGACAGGGGTTTAAACCAACCTGATTTAAATCTGCAATATAGGAAGACCTCAGCCTACCGAGATAAAATTGGGCCCTTGACCAGTAGCGGCCACCTTTTAGATTTTAAAGACTTCAAATCAAAATACTTTAGGGGCTGGGACCAGAATAGCGCTCTCAAGGCAAAACACTAGGAGCCAGGTGGAAGAGAAGCCATGCCAAAGAGCCAGGGTTTGGGTTTTTTCACTTTGAGCCTTTTTTTTTTTTTTTGGTCATTTACCACCTCCCTTTCTTCAGTATCCTTTCTGAGAGGCAGCCTGGTATCGGGGAGAAAACAGGCTTTCTGGTCAATCGTGTGTGCTTAACCTTCACGCCTGTCCTCCATTTGTAAAAGAGAGATGATAATGCGCCTTGAGGCACTGTGTACGGATTCAAGAAGATACAGTATGGAAAGAACTTAGTGAAGTGGCTGGCAGGAGAGGCTCTGTCTGTTCCTCTGTCTTGTTAGCTTGTGTTGATAGACTGAATAAACAGATGGATCATGGCCAGACCATGTATAAAAACAGAGCCCTGACCCACACTCTGCAGCAACCAGGCCAGGAAACCAATCCATTATCTATAGTAACCAGACCAGAAGGCCAACCTACTGTGTACAAGTCAAATTTGTAATAAGTCAGTCTCTCTCCCCCTGTCCAGTAAGACCTGTAAAAATCTACCCCAAACGGTCAACACTTGATTAATGACTGATAGTTTCTTCAGTTTTTGTCCCTGTTTTCAACTTAAAACCAATCAGAAGAAGCCAAATATATACCCCTAACCAACCACATGGTTCCCATGCTTCTACTTAGCCTACCTGCAGCTTCCCATGCCAATAGTCATCAGTCAGGGCACATCTGAAGTCTTCCCTTTTTCCACTATAAAGCTTTCCCCCTCCTTTGCTTGCTTTTGAGTCTCTGTCAAAATGTAAGGCATGGTGGCTGACTCCCTTGCAATGACTCTTTCGCAAGCTCTGGATAAATAGCGTTTGTCTATTCTCATTTGGTTGGTCTTCAATTATTTCCACAGGGTCTTTTTTTTTTTTTCTGATTCTCCCTTTTTATGGACTAAGTGTTTGTGTCCTCCACAAATGCTTATGCTGAAGCCCTAATCCCCAAAGTGATGGTATTTAGAGATGGGGCCTCTGGGAGGTGATTAGAGTTAGATGAGGTCATGGGCGTGGAGCCTTCATGATGGGATTAGTGCCCTTATAAGAAGAGACACCAGAGCAAGTGCTCTTTCTCTCTCAATCTCCACCTACCCCCGTATGAGGACACAACAAGAGGGAAGTGGCAGCCATCTACAAGCTAGAATAGGCTCTCACCAGGAATAGAATCAACCAGCACCTTGATCTTGGACTTCCCAGCCTCTAGAACTGTGATAAAATGAATTTCTGTTGTTTAAACCACTCAGTCTATGGCACTTTGTTATGGCAGCCTGAACAAAGAAACCCCCCTTTTTACTTTGTTCCCCTTCAAACCCAAAGCTCTGGACCTTCCTAAACCTCTGGTCCCACCACACTTGATCTGTCCACCATCAAATCAGGGTCATGCACTCTAAGTGACAACTTGATTGGTATATGCTTGTATAGTGCACATTACTCAACCCAGGCTACAAATGTACTGCTCCTGGGTTCTCCTAGAGATAGTACCTTAATGAAAAAGGATTGATTCCATTGGTTTGAATTTCAGGCATCATAGAAGGCTCAGCAGGGAGATATCTGAGGGCAGGCGGAGGCATTTTTTGTATCTCTCATATCAACCTCGGGGTACTTCCCTATTGCTTGTAGCTTCTGCATCCTACCTATATATCAGGACACATATGATCTTGGTCATTACCCATTCACTGAGAATGTAAGTTTTGAATGTTTAAGGATTCATCAGTTTAAGATATATCTATGTCTACATATCTCTATCTATCTGTCTGTCTATTCATCCATCTGTCCGGCTAGCTATAATCTGTATATGCACATACATATTCTAATATTTATTATATATTCATATATTTATAAAAGTGATATCACTTTCTCCTTCTTAATCTAATACATAATAGACATCTTTCTATTGCAATAAGTATACTACACAATACTTTTTACAGCTGTAGTATTTGATTGTATGTCTATATAATTATACTTGATCCCTCATTGCAGGTATTCAGAACTTTTCCCATTTTTCCTGATTATAAACAATGATTCTTATATTTTCTTTCCATTCTCTCTCTCTTAGATTTAAATCTTTAAAAAAGTTTATTTCCTTGTGGCGTATGAGGTAGGACTATAGTGTATTTATTCCCAAATAAATTGTCTCAACAACACTAATTACCGAACAATCTCTACTACTCTATCAATTTGAAATACTTTATCATACCTTAAATTCCTAAGGTTTCCTTTAGAGTTTCTGTTCTGTTCTAGTCCCCACTTCATGTAATTCTTTGATAGGGATACCCTATTTCAACAATTATAGTATTTAATGTATTTATTTGATATCTGATAGAGGAAGGACATCCTCCTCCATTTTTTTCAGACAAATATTCTGACTTTTAACCAAAGCCACTCACAATGAATAAAACGAATGCATTTGTGTTTATTCTTTAGGATTGCTCTTGTTCTTCTAGAAAAACCAAGGTGCAGAGACTAGACTGGTGTGAGGGAGTCTGTGTGGAGGATCTGCATGGAAGCCGGAATGAGTCACAAGTTGAATGATAAGTATTCCATGGGTGGAAAATTTCCAAGCAGCCTGCACACACATCTGGGCTACTGTCGTCAGTCACTGTGGGAGTTGGCTGCCTAAAACTGTGTCTCCCACTGGAGGAGAGGTTGTCAAACCTGGTTGCACATTAAAATCATCAGAAGAGCTTTCCCGAAGTAACGATGCGAGACCTCACTCCAAACAGAGTGAATCAGAATCTCTCAGGCAGTGGTCTCTGGGTATGGGTGCATTGGAACATTTCTCCAGGCAACACTCTTGTATAGCCGGAGCTGACTGGACGCTTCCTCTAGCCCGAAACCATGCTGTTGATTCATTTGGCATTCCCAGGCCTTTGTACTGCTGCTGACATGTGTCGGACAGAGCAGAACTGAACTGAAATCAGATGAAGACACCCAGACTTACACGTCTCTACCAATTTTCCTAGAGAAGGGACACAGATGATTAGTGCCCACTTGGGAATCTTTATGACTTTCCCTCCATCACACTGGGAGAAGTAGCTTCAAAGGGGAGAAAAATGAGCATGGTCTTGGTCCAGTAAAGGTACTAGCTCAACAGTCTGAAAAGAGGAAGCTTCAAGACCATTTAGGCTGTCTCCGTATTTTAAGCTCATGAAGGCCAGAGAGGTTAGATGACTTTGCAAGGTGGCACAGCTCTCAGTGGCACATCTGGAACAGAAACCAACCCTTTGTATTCCAGACATCCACGTTATAGCCTGCTGTCCTCATGTGAGTGTGTGCGAGGGAGTGTGTATGTGCGGGTGCGAGAGACTGGGTGTGTGAAGGGCTGCATGTGTGCATGCGTGTACTAGGAATGGGAGGAGATGGGGAGCCTGAGCAGAGAACTAGTTGCATTATAATAAATAGAAAACCAGGAGCCCTGGCCCCTCTCTTTCTGGCACGTGGTTCACTGCGTTCTCTCCAGGTTGGTCCCTGGCAGGTGCAGCAGTGGGGGCCTGGGAGGCAGGGTAGGCCTCCAGGGCCCAGTGCCTGCCATGGGGGAGGTGCTCTGCACTAAGGTTTACTGATGCAGAATTTGGGGAAGGGCTATTGTGAGGGGTCTCAGGCTCATTCTGGGGTGAGATGGTGTGTTGGGAAAGCATTGATCATCCTTTGCCTGGCTTAGGGTCCAGGATTTTTCTGTGGATGGATGGCAGTTTTCTCCATCTCTAAATTCAAGCCAAGTAGAAATGTCTATGCTCACACATCACTGAATGTGTGCTCCTTGGACAGACCTCTTTTCACCCCAGTGTCTTCCAGGGTGTTCCTCTTTGCCAGGCCTAAGAAACCGGGGCAACCTTTGGATCCTGGCACCCAAAGTCTGCCCCCCCCCTTTCTTCTTGAGTCTTCAGGGAGGCCACATGGAAGAAGCAGTACCTGCCAGGAGAGCCTTTGGTGGGTCTGATCTGCTAGCTGGGTCCTGATAGAAGAGTGCAGGCTTGTTGTATTCAGGCAAAACCCAAGCTCTGATTTGCTAGAGAAAAACCACTACAGAAGCAAAATTACCCAAGAGTTGGCTAATGCCAATTAGAGACTTACCCGAGCAGTTGGAGATCATGGTCTCATGGGCTTTGCTCTTAATCCAAATGGTTCAGATCACAATGGCATAGATGGCACTGTGGAAAGGACCAGAAGTAATAATAACATGGCTGGTGGGTCCCTACTGTGAGGACTGTGAGGACACAGACAGAGGACCACTCCCAGTTACCTGAGTGTGAGGTAAAGGGGGGGTTCTCTAAACCATGCCTGGTCCCTATCCTTGCTGATTATAGAATCCCAGCATGTTACAGCTACCTCTTTTTTAACTGAGGAGGCTAGAATTTGGTGAAGTGAAATGGTTCTCCAAGATAACTCATATGGTTAGAGGTAGAGCTGAGATTAGAATCCAAACTCAGGGTTTGGGATCGGAAATATTTTTATTTGTAACCAGCTTTACTGCTTGCTGCTTGTATGACCTTGACCTTAGACACTCTTTAAGGTGGCCCCATGATTCCTGCCTCTGGTATTCATGCCTTTGTGAGATCCCCTCCCCTTGAGTGTGGTGGGAACTGTGACTGGCTTCTAATCCATGCATTGGGCTGAAGGTGATAAATGTCTGTGATCGTGTAAGATTGTAGTGCCTGTCTTGCTAGTGTCTCTCTCTGTTGCTACCATGAGTCCTACAGTAGCAGAAAATTAATTCTGCCAAGAACCCCTGGGAGCCTGAAAGAAGATCCTTCCCCAGTTGAGCCTCTGATGATACCCCAGCCTTGGCAGACACCTTGCTGGTTGCCTTGCTTAAGCAGAAGTAAGCCATGCCCAGTTAAGCCATGTCCAGACTCCTGACCCACAGACCCTGGAGATAATAAATGTATGTTGTTTTAAGTCACCAGGTTCATGATAATTTGTTACCCAGCAATAGATAAGCAATATACTGACTGATACAGGCTGAATGTTTGCATCACCACCCCTAAATTTATATGTTGAAATGTAAATGACCTCGGTGATAGTAGTAGGAGGTGGAGCCTATGGGAGGTGATTAGGTCATGAGCGCTCATATAAAAGACACCCCACAGAGCTCCCTAGCCTCCTCCACCATGTGGGGACACAAGGAGAATTTGGCTGCCCAGAAGAGAGCTGTCACCAGAATCTGACCATGCTGGTGCCCTCTTCTTGGACTGCCAGCCTCCAGCACTGTGAGAACTGAAGTTCTGTTGTTTACAAACCACCCAGTCTGTAATATTTTGTTACAGAAGCCAAAACAGACTAAGGCACTGGGCCTCTGTTGACACTAAAATGGAGTTAATAACACAAACTTCTTATGAATTTTTTTTTGGATCCAATGCGACAACATTGAAAATGCCAAGCACAGCACTTGGAAATTAGCAGAGACTCAATAAATGCGATTTTCTTTCTCCTCGTTCTTCCCCATTTTTCACGTAATATCACACCTACTGTAGTATGACATAATCTATACCTAACAGGAAAACAAAGTGTTAATGACTCAAAAGTATCAGGAAATTTTGTCTTTTGTCCCCTTTGATAAATATAAAAATTTATACTCTTCTTTAGTTAGTTACGTGATGCTTCCAATATATTAAGAACCTCAACTAAAAACTTTGGGACAAAGCGTTGCTTTACTTTAGAATAGCACAAAACTTCCCTCTTGAGATTTACTGGTTAAAACAAAATCAGAGGTCTGGTCTGCAGTGGCTGACAAAGCACTAATTGTTTTTAATGATCTCTAGAATATAACCTAATTAATGACTGTGTTAAAAACTTTCTGCTCCTTCTTGCTTTTCCCATTCATTCTTGCTTAGTGAACCCCTCTGAGTGCTCCAGGTGAGCTTGGAGTCTTTTTGGAACATCCCCAGTTCTTCGCATATACCTGCCTAGGGATTTTTCTGGGATTTGCATGTCTACATTAAAGAAGAAATGAGGAAAAAATTACTTGTGAGCCTATTCTTTACCTTAAGTTGGACATTTGTTACAGCAGAGAAACTTTTTCCCCAGGTAAATGAAATACAAGGAAAGGTTACAACCAGTATGAAACATTAACTATATATTACAATTGCAACCCCAGTGCTAAATCAATCAATAATTCAAATATTTATTGGCCATCAGCCATATACACAATGGAAAATTAAGGAAGGTCTTATGTGTTAGGGGTTTGGGACTAAGTCATCTCTGCCTCATCTCCTTAGGACCCATCGGGCAAGGGGAAAGCAACTCCTAATAAGTAGGGTGTCTCTTTATTACCCAAATCAGGCCACTGCTCAGAGCAGAACAGTTATGCATCAGAGAAATCTCTGAATTGTATTTGTCTCCTTCTTCTTCCTTGTTTCTTTCATCAGCAAGTTCTATGATCTGTCCCTTCAAAATGTTTCCATGATTTGTTCTTTCTTCTCCATTCCTGCTCCTCAGCATCAGTCCAGATCCTTACAACCTCTTTTTTTTTTTTTAAATATTTTGATGGGGTTTTCTTATTGTGGTAAAACAAACATAACAAAATCTACCATTTTAACCATTTTTAAGTGCATGGTTTGGCAGCATGGAGTACATTCACATTGTTGTATAACCATCTCCACCATCCATTTCCAGAATTTTTCATCTTCCCCAACTGAAGCTTAGTACCCATTAAAAGTATTCAAGAAGGCTTTTTGAGTGTTCATATCATCCTCATACGGGGCCTTACAAATCTCTGTATGATTCCAATTTCAGTATGTGTGCTCCCCAAACGAACACCCCTTATGACCTCTTCACCGATTATTGTGATCTTCTGATGCCTCTGCTCAGCTGCTGTCTTGAATGCCCGTGCTGCCATCAAGGTGGAGCTCTAGGACACAGAGTAATTCTCTGGCTTAAAAAGTCTCCGCTTTCCTACAAGATGACATCCAGGCTCTTACGCAGGGCATCCAAAGCCTCCCACAACTTGCCTCTGCCTTCCTCACCTTTACCATCATCATCCTGCTTCCCTCCACCCCACTGTCTCTCAGTGACCTTTTACCATATCAGCAAACAGGGGTGGCCAACAGGAGCAGGCTGACAAAACTAACCTTGACTCCATGCTTTATATGCAGTTGACTTTGGGTGAATCTGAGTTCCAGTGCCTTTCATCTCTCTGTGTCTGCTTTGCTGCCTTGCTGACATGCATTTTTTAAGCCCACTCTTCATATATCACATAGCTATGAAACCTTTCTAAGCTGTCCCTGTTCCTCAATGATAACTAGCTCCCACTTCCTTGGGGCCTCCATGCTGGTATAACACTGGTTACACTGAGTCTTGTCTGTGGTGGTCATGTCCTAAAGATCAGCAGACCTATACATAGCCCATTCTCAGAAACAGAGCTAAAGAATAGCATCTCTGCTCTTTTGTCTTAACTTCTTCCATGTCTTCAACCTATTTCCATTCTCCCAACAAATGAAGCTTTTCTTCAAGCTTCTCAGAAATCTGAAAACTGAAAGATCATCCAGATTGAAGAAAATATCCCTTATCTGTAATTGGCTGGCTAAGTTCTTGATTTTATGGGAGACTATCCAGACACAGACCCATTTTCTCTCATTTCCTTTATAGAGGCAGCTCATGATGGGGGTAGAGTGAGAGGCAAGGCAGAGACAGACCTTGCAGGACAGCCTCAGGAGGATGCCTGCACCTGGTTCCTTAGTCCTGGCTCCGCATTATGTGTCAGAAGTGTCCAGGAAACAGAACAAAACCTTTGCTTTTCCTATGAGACACAACAGACAGCATTCCACTCAGACTGTAAGTGCTCCACCCCTGCGGGACTCAGCACAAGGCTGGGAACTTCATGGATTACAATCTGGAAACCATAGACATTAAGAGCCAGAGGTGATCTAAGGCTCCATCTCTGTTTCACATTTGGGGCCTGAGAATTGTGTCCAGTTGTGCTCTGAAGGTCTCATTAGAGGTGAAGCATTGGGAACACGGGTAGGAGGAGTTGGTGTTCACTGAACAAGGCCCTTTTCTCTCTTCTCCCAGCAGGGGCATTAAGGACACTCCCTAGTCAAAAGCGTCTCTCTCCTTATTAATTAGTTCATTTCATTATATGTATTTGAGGACTTACTTTGTCCCAGGCACCTGATGAGCTATTGTGGATACTGTAGCAGAAAATACAGAGTTCTGACCCTCATGGAGCTCACATTGTATTTGTGGAGATAGATAATAATAAAATGAGGACACAGTAATATATGCTTAAAAAGGAGCAACTTCTATGAAGTTAAAATGTAGGGTGAGACAGTATATAATAGGGGCCCTGACTTGTTCTGGGGCTCAGACTTCAGGTTTGAGAGATTCAGTGATTTGTCTGAGTTCACACACCTAGAGGATGGGTCCTCTGACTTCAAGGGCTGTTAATCAACTTGTTAACAACCTTGTTAAGAAGGGCGCACAAGCTCCTCTGGGGGATGTATTGGGTTATGTATGCTATATATGGTTCTAGTTATTTCCTGAATGCCTTGTTTGATTCCTAGACCAGGTTAGCATCCCTGCCGTGGGTCCCCTAGGGCTTTCTATTTACCCGACCATAGCACTCATCACAGTGTTATAACTCCTTCCTTAATTGGCTGCCTTTTCTATTATACAGGAATATTCTTAAATTCAGACATCATGTGTGTCTTGTCATTTCCGTATCCCCCTTACCAGGTCCAGGGTCTCACAGAGGGTGGGTGCCCTATGGGTATATGGGAAGAGGCAAGGGGTCAGGGACTGAATAGTATCTCTGTATGTAGTTGGGAGACATGAAGGCAGAACTAACTTTGGGGGGAAAATGTAAAAACAGCTTGATACTTAAGAAACTAAAAAAAAAATCTGAGAGTCCTGATATATGCGGTCCATTGGCACCATGTTTACTGGGCTCCCAGGACAGAGAAAGTCAAAGGGATGCCTTTGCTAACTCACTTGGTACCACTGAAATAACTGAGATTTCCTAATGGTCCTAGAAGAAGAGTTCACTCTGATGACTTCGGTAGTTCAGGTGAATTCACTGATGTTTGGAAACAGCAAGTATGGACAGTTGGGTATCAGGATATTTTTTGTAGCAACTTACAGAAAACTCAAATTATTCTAAGCAATCAGGATATTTCTTATATCCCATAATTGCAACTTCAGAGGGTCAAAGCTG